CTTCCTTCCTTCCTTCCTTCCTTCCTTCCTTCCTTCCTCCCTCCCTCCCTCCCTCTCTCTCTCCTTTCCTTCCTTCCTTTTTTATCTATTTATTTATTTATTTTGGGACAGAGCCTCACTATATTGCTAAGACTGGCTTTGAACTTTTGATTCTCCTGCCTCAGCCTCGTGCTGCTAGGATTACAGGCATGTGCCACTGAAATCAGCCTCCTTTTTATTTTTTGAGACAGGGTCTCCCTAAGTTGCTCAGGCTGGCCTTGAATTTGCCATCCTCTTGCCTCAGTCTCCCAGAGTTGCCAGGATTATAGGTATGCGCCATTATGCCTGGTGGTGTTTTGCTTTAAAATAATATATTTGAATAGATAATACTGCTGCATTTGGTAAAGTAAAAATTAATTCCCCTTCTTATTCCTGGTGGCCTGTTTTCTCACCCCAGAGGTAACCACCAATTCCAGTTTCTTGAGTATTATTCTAGAGATATTATGGATACATATGCTTTTTATGTCCCTGGGAGATTTTTGTATACTTGTTTAAAGGATAGAGAAGACTTGTGTATCTTTGAGAAAGAAGGGAAAGGGTCAGAGAAACAGATGGAAGAAGCAAATTAGAAGAATTACTGAAGCAAGTTCTTAGAGGAGGTAGGAGGAGACAGAATCAATGATGTCCTTATGTACTTTAAAAAGCAGAGTGCGGGGCTGGGAATATAGCTCAGTTGGTAGAGTGCTTTCCTCACGTGCACAAAGCCCTGGTTCAATCCCCAGCACCACACACACACACACACACACACACACACACACACTAATAATAGTAATAATAAATAAACTAAAAAAAATAAAAAATAAATAAAAAGCAGGGTGGACCCTTTTAGAACTATGAAGGGAAGATGGATGGCAATAAAGATTTCCGATGCTGTATCACTTTGATGGTCTGTTTCCTCAGTTTGGTGGTGGTAGAGATGCATTTTGAAGTAGATGGATTGCTTCAGGAGAATACAGAGAAGATATAAAAATCGTCACTGTGGACATGAGAAAATACCATGGAACTGTCAGATTGAAAAATCAAAAAGGTTTATTTTGATGATTTATAAAAGAAATATCACCATAGCAACTTAATTTATATTTACACATTAAAAATTAATTTACATAAATATATTCACATCATCTTACATTAAACATTTTCAGTTAAAACATTACAGGTAATCATAAACAAAACATAAACCAAATTTTAAACATAAATGCCCTCAAAGTATGCTCAATAACCACCATAGATGAATCAGGAAAAATAAGATTTCAGGAACAAACAGTACAGATGATTCCATAGGCCACAGGCCCTGTGGTCCTTAAAAAGCCACTTTCACTTATTTATTTTTATGGTGCTGGAAATTAAACCCAGGGTCTTATGAGTACTAGGCAAGCACTCTACCACTGAGCTATATTCCCAGCCCTAAAAGTCACTTTAAATTCTAACCAGAAGCTTACATGAAGCCGGCTGAAGAAAGAGATTTTTAATTTTTTTTTGTTTTTTTTTTGTGTTTTTAAAAACATATTTTTTGAGTTTTTATTGTGTTTTTCATGTGAGTTTTTTTTTTGTAGGGTGTTCTTTTTTTTGTGGTATATTTTGGGTCTCTTTTTTTTTTTTTCCAGATTCTATGAGAGTAGATAGTCCAAAGTGTTGGGAAGGGGAAGTTTGAGGCTGCATCAAGACCATAATTGTGGATCTCACTGCTCTTGTCTATTCAGGGCTTCATATACACATTAATAGCCCCAGAAGGAGAACACCATACAAAGACTTTGGCATTGGCTCTGACTTGGGTGCTGCCTCTGATAAATGCTGGGCATTCTGTCTCTGATGCCAGGGAGAGAATGCTTGGCAGCTGTCTGGGCATGCTTTGCTCAATTTAGGTGCCAGGTGTAATTATACAGTGGCTAGCAGCTCTATGGAGATGCTGAAGTTTGAGACTAAGTGTCACAGAGAGCTAATAACAAATAGTTTTCATGAGAAAAGTAAACAAAAACAGGTGTTTACCAAAACCTGAGGTTATTATCTAGTTTGATAAGCAGTATAAGAGGGTCATTTCATTTCATTCCCTTAAATGTGGCCCTTAACAATAAATAGAGTTCTCCTATTTCATGTCACCTGACTTGCAGCCAGGTATCTGAACCTAAAGTTTAAAGTCCTGCATATATATTATTAATTATTAAAAAGAGCAAATTTTCCTAATCTGGCAACTAGTGACACTTCATGATTACAAGCCTTAAAATTTAATACAAGTACATTTTTTAATATATAGAATGCTTACACATTAAAACATCAAAGGCACTTTTCAGGTTACATGATAAATAAAAGTACATTAATAGAAAGAGGATTATTTATTGTTTTCTTCAGTTTTTGTGTCCATGGTAATCACTGACAGCCCACTTCTGCACTTCGCCTTTGGCCAATAGTACAAAGAAAATGGCACCAAATACATTAATAGCAGCAGCGATACAAAAAACAATTTGCCATTCTCTAACAGTGTTCTATAGAGAAAAAAAGAAAAAATGAAATGAAAAAATTTTGTGTCTAGTTTATAAAAAAGGTTGTATCACAAAATTGTTATGACAGCAACATTATTCATCAAAGATATGCTTGAAATAAATGTTCATCAGCAGTAGGATTGTGGTGTATAAGTTCAATGAAATATTATATAGCAATGAGAATGAATGAGCTACAATATGGATACATCTCACAAAGTGTTAAGCAAAAGAAGACAGAGTATATATGAAGTGATTCCATTTATATAAAACTAAAAATCAGACAAAACTAATTTATGGTTAAAAGTCAGGAATAGTTCCTCTTGAAGGGGTGAGGGAGGAGTGGTAGGAATATCAAAGAGGCAAAATTCCCTTGCTGAGGGACCAATGATCTATTTATTGATTGGGGAATGGCTACACAGATATGTTAATGTTTTGAATAATGGTTCAGCTGTACAATTATGACTTGTGTATTTTAAAAATACATGTTATACTTCAATAAAAAAATAAAAAGAAGCTTACATGGCATGCTCTTGAATCATGTGTTATTAGGCAAGTTATATTCTGCGTTCATCTCCCAAATTCTTAGGTGGGAGGTGTCTGGTAGATCAATCAAGTGGATCAATCAAGTCCTTCTTATCATAAGTTCAGAAGGACTCTGAAGTTCAGGTTTAAGGATTTGGGATGTTGCAGGGAGGCCCAACCAGTGTAAAAAGTTTTGACTGGCACAAAGTAGGGCATTCATGGGATTTGTCTATAAGAAATCAACATTTGTTCAATGTATAACCTAAAAAGTAGTATAAAAACATCAAAGTTACATAACTTTCTGGGTTATAGGACTACCTTTAACAACCAATTATAAAATTTTGATATTTTTAATCTAATCAGAGTGCTACTTTGCAGCATTGTAACAAACAAAAACTAAATAGTAGTACTGGCAATGTGGAAGAAAAGGTAAGGCATAACTATGGAAGTCATTTTATTTAGGAAAAAAGGAGAAACATGGAGAAAGAAAGGAGCTACCTGTGGCTATTATACTTGTGTGAGGTAAAAAATATTAGAAATACATCATAAATTTTAGCAACTAAACTCAGTAACTAAAATTTAGCAACTAATTTTAGTACTAAAATTTAGATACGCTAATGATGTGTCAGCATTCTAGGGGAGAATCTAGTCAATAATTATATCTTGTACCAGAAAGAAATATTTAAGACAGTTTCTTAGGATTACCTAAGACAAATCTCTATGTGAGCTACCGTGATTTGTGATTTAAAATTGATCAACTGTACCAGAAATCTCATTTTTTTTTTCTTTTCCTGTACTGGGGATTGAACCCAGGGTGCTCTGCACTAAGCTATATTCTCAGCCCTTTTCCATTTTGAGACAGAGTCCTTCTTGCTGGCCTGGTACTTGCAATCCTGCTGCCCCAGCTTCATGAGTTGCTGAGATTACAGATGTGTGTTTTGTTTTATGGATCTTGAACTCCTGAGCTCAATTAATCCCCTGCCTCAGTCTCCCAAGGAGCTGATACTATATAGTGTGTGCCACTACATCCAGCTACATCATCTTCAAAATCCAGCTCAGTTCCTACTTTACAAACACTCAGGATTTCAGTTCAGGAATCCATATTTCTCTAGCAGAAGTGCTAGAATTATCAACAATAATACATGGTATTATACATTGATAACTAAAACATGGTAGTGTGTAGATCTAAGTTCTTGGGTTGCCATATTGCTCTAAGAAGACAACATAAAACAGTTCTGGCATGTCCATATTGAGACAGAACTTTAGAAAAAACTACTGCAACATGCAACATTCCTTTTTATTGAGAGGAAATAGTGATGTGAGGCACCAATTCACTTAAGTAAGGAATTAGAAATGGTAAAGAGTGGAGAACAGTGGTGAACACATATGTGTCTGAAATCAAGATATTTGGTAAGAAGGTTTTATGTACTGAAATTCAACAAATTAGATATGATATTGACTGGATCATAAAACCAAACAGAAAGTTAGGTTTTCTTGAGAGATTTAAGTTAGCCTATTGAAGAACTTATTCCACCAGCCTTAAGATACTTTTTTTTTTTTTTTTTTTTTGTATCAGGGATTGAACCCTGTGGCATTCAACCATTGGGCCACATCTCCAGCCCCCACCTCCCACGTGCCCCACTTTTAAATACTTTTTACTTGTAGTTGGACACAGTACCTTTATTTATTTATTTTTTACTTGGTGCTAAGGATAGAACCCAGTGCCTCACACATGCTAGGTGAGCGCTCTACCTCTGAGCACAACCCCAGCCTGCCAGCCCTTTTTTATATTTTATGTAGAGATAGGGTCTCACTGAGTTGCTCAGCACCTTGCTAAATTGCTGAGACTGACTTTGAATTCCCCAAATACTGGGATTATAGGCATATGCCACCGTGCCTGGCTTGAGATACGTTTAAACTTTAGAAAGTAGAGTTGGAAAGAGTAATGTTTCAAAAGGCTCTGTTGACTGACTTGGCCTCATGCTGCCCTCCAGCTTTAAGACCTAACCAACCCTGGCCCACCTTGCCTCTCTGCACTTGGTGCCCTTGCCCAGGCCTATGTGTCAGACCCTTAACACCCACATGGCTTACTCCTGAGGGGCTCTTTCCCCACTGCTCCCCTCCTCTCTTGCAGTAGCATGCCACACAATCTTTTTTTCTGTAGCACCTGTCAAACTGCACTTTAACTCTATGATTACATATAATCTATAAATGTTGAATTTTTCAGAAGTATAGGAGAAGCTTGTCATTTTGCCTTTGAATCTTCAATATCTAACATGCTGATAAACACTCCAGAACTGCCTTTTGAGTAAATGTTCCACTGCTTCAGGGCTTACTGACTGACTCATAAGGCAGCACATTTTATAAAGTAATAGCTCTGAACAGAAAAATTTCCTAATGTCTCCTATAACTTCTCTCCATCTGTTTTGTAGAACTACTGAGAATAAGTCACCATCTAGCCCTTCAAATATGTGAAGACACCCATCAGGTCTTCCCAAGTCTTTTGGCCCTTCAAACACTGTTGACTATTTCAACTGTTCCTCCTTCATTCTCACATTATTTCATGACACCTCACTCACCCTGATGGGTCCCTTTTTTGAATCATTTTATATTGCCAATTTTTATTTGTTTTATTTTATACATAAATTACTTATATGGTAAACTACCACAGCTTTTAATACTGTGTGGTTTTGACCGCAGGATTATCATTTAACTTAGTTATACTGTTCTAAAACCCAAAGAGTATCCTTTAAAAATATATACTTTCTCATTCATTAAGGCTTATAGATTTTGTTGCCATAAAGAATTTCTTAAGAATACATATTCAAGAGCTGGAGCTGGGGCTGGGGATGTGGCTCAAGCTGTAGCGCGCTCGCCTGGCATGTGTGTGGTTCGATCCTCAGCACCACATACAAACAAAGATGTTGTGTCCGCCGATAACTAAAAAATAAATAATTCTCTCTCTCTCTCTCTCT